TGGAACTTGAAATGGTCTTTTTATTATTACTACTGTGATTTTAATGAAAGTTTACAGAAAATTTGCATTTCCATTTATTCACTGTTGCATAGTTTTCTCCCTACTACTCAGTTTACTTTTAAAAAATATTTAGTCATTGTTGCACAGTTTCCTCCTTTCCACCCACCCCAGTCCACTTTGCTATGCACCTCTTATTCTGGACTATTGTCGTGCAAGTAATTCCTAATCATATATTCATTTTAAACAGTTCTTTTCCTCATCTGTTTCAATGCAGTGTTCATTATTTATCCCCTCTTTTTGTAGTTTCCCCCAAACCCGTATTGTAATGAAAACAAACATTGTCTTAGTTATCTAATGGTGCTACAACAGACATCACAAGCAGATGGCTTTAACAGATAAATTTATTCTCAAAAAAATGGTCTTTTTGACTATGAATACAATCCCATTCTTCCTCACTTCTCCATTCCTGGCATAGTTACAGAAAGATTACTTCAAAGGTTTTGGTGGCACATACAGTATTGACAAGGACAAAATGGACAAAAGTGCCCTTGGCTTTGAGTACCAAGACATGTGATTGTCTGATTAAAAATGACCAATGCCAGTCCATCTCAGCTTGCCTAGAAATGTTGATTTTGATGTGTTCCATTTCATTCTTGACAACTCCCAATATTCCTAAATTCATACTTTATACATTCTACATTACAATTATTAATGGATACTTGCGGCTGTGCCTTCTCATTTTTTTAAGTCTTCCAATCTGATGCCTCTACCTCCAGTAGTCTTCAGTAAGCATTGGATTAAATATTGAGACTTTGAAATTCTGCACAGGGGAAAAATCTGATCATAAATTAAGAGTTCTGGAAATACAGTTTATTGACTAAACACTATAAAATAATGATCTCTTCTTTCAGCTGCACACTGACATAAGATATCATCTCTGTTGTTTCTGTTACTTTTGTTAATTAGAAATTGTAGTCTCTTGAACAATCATTTAATGAATGTCTGCTGTATACAAGATTTTATATTAAGTATTAGGAATATGTAATTACAGAGATGAACAAAATTACCAAATCCTTCATTTATTGAGCATATGGTATTGTGGGTCACATTATTTAGGGAGCTCTTGTGACTTAGTAGTAAGAAATTGTGCTGCCAACACAAAGGTACATGTTCCCCATAGGCGAAATATGGGCAGTCTCCTCCTATGTTATTTATTGCCTCTGAAAACTCACTGTAGGGTTTCTCTCCCCTCCCCACTCTGTGTGTGTAGGAAGTCTACCATGAAAAAACCATGTAACAGTTTGGTTTTAGCTGAAAACTATAAAAACCCCATTTGTGTTTTAAGTCAATGTCAATTTTTCTGTGACCTTATGCCTACAGGTTGCATGTGGTGGATGCCACATGCTGGTGTTTGCTATTCCGCGACCTAATGTGTCACAAGAATCTGGCCTAGGTGAAATAAAGGATTCCTGCTTACCTTCTCCAGCTTTGGCCATAATTGATGTCGCCTCAGGAAGTGGGCTGCAGAGAACATTATCTGCCCGAGATAGGCGAAGAGAGAGGGTATTGCAATGGTCTTTTCTATCTAAATGCATTTTCACTAGTGTTTGAAAGAAAAAACCTGTTTTATTTTAAATCTATTTTTTAGACCAATTTAGCAAATAATATAAGAGTTGAGGACTCCACAGGTTTAAGTCAACTCAGAATTAACCTGTTCAACATACAAATGAGAAACTTTAAATTACGAATAGTCTTTGTTTATAAATGGATATGCTTGTCTTACCACTTCAGATTGAATGTTATTTTTCCCAGTGGTGTGTGATTTGACTTTAAGCCACATGCTTGTATGCTTTATTTACACCTTATGGCCACAGAAGGTTTGTAATTTCTAACCAATGAAACATAAAAACCAGAGAAATGAGGGCTTCAATTAAAGAGAAAGAGTAAATTTAGAAATTTCTTTCTGTGCTTTAAAACTATTCCAAAAACATGAATTGATTTTAAAAAATAATCAAATAATTTTAAAAGGAGCTATTGCTATTTAAAAATTACTCTGTGTTCTAAAATGTACTCCTGTTGTATAAAAAAATGGTAAACTTTGCCTTTCTGTTACATAAAACTATATACAGAAAGACTGTATTGAAATAGATGAGGGAAAGATCTGCTTAAAATGAATATGTGATTAGATATTATTTGCATGACAGTAGTCCACAATAAGAGCTGCATAATAAAGTGGACTGGGGTGGAGGTGGGAAATTGTACAACAATGAAAGAATTTTTTCTTTTCAAAGACAAAAGCAAAGTGTGGGGGCAGGGAAGAAAATGTGCAACAGTGAATGAATGGAAATCCAAGTTCTCTATAAACTTGCATTAAAATCTCAATTAAAAATAATATATACGGAAAGACTGAGGAGTGACCTGTCAGTGTTTCCTGTTACTGTTGTTGTGTGCTTATATTTTTTAACTAATTTTTGTTTCTTAGGGAGGGTGGAGAAAACAAACAGACTTTTTGCCCCATAATGTGAAAAGCAGGTTTCCAAATTGACACTTTTGAGCCACTCAGATATAAAAGTTACAGAACATTTTTGAGACCCTAGGGATTATTAAATGAATATTGTGGAACATTGACAGATTGGTTTTGCTTCCTCTTAAATATTTTTGCAACATCCAAGGATTATATGGCAGTGTTAAATGCATAAAATAATTTAACAGCTTTTTTTAACCTATTTGCTTTCAAGGAAAAATCTCCAGATTCTGCCGTAATGATGCCTGTGCTACCAGTTGAAGGGACTCCTGTATCGGCTGATACCTTTTCTGTCATTTCTGTCCCTTGCCAATTACCTACAAGTGATCTACCAGAGAGACCCTTGTCTAGAAAGGAGAGCCCTGTGGACCAGCTAGAAGCAGGTAATATTTAATACACTGTCAGCTCTATGGGAAAATAAAAAAGCAAAAATAAAAAAATCTTTGCTTTTTTAGTATTTTTTCCCATTCACATTGTTTTTCTTAGGATCATTCCTATAATCATGTCTTACAAAATTAACCACCATTGTTCTATGCCCACTATTACACTGTCTTTTCAGATCCTCCCTGGATCTTTTCCAATTCCTTCACCCCTTCCCTCCACCCACCAAACTCTGCGGCCTCATGAATCCCTCCCTCTTCCACCCTCAGCCTCTCTATCCCTCACTTCCCTCTTTAGATAGCCATACACTTAGTAGTTATCCTTCTGCTTTTACAATGGTCTTTTGCAGTATTTGTCCTTATGAGGTTGAGTTTACTCAGCATAATGCTCTCTAGCCTCTCCCTTATTGTTGTTGTTGTTGTTGTTATGTGCCATTGATTTGCTTGCGACTCATAGCAACCCTATGTATAAGAGCCCTGAATGCTGTTCTATCCTTACCAACCTCACCATCTCAAACACACTCATTCCCACCACCCCAGTCACAGAATTGATCCATCTCATCAAGGGTCTTCCTCTCCTGTGCCGTCCCTCCAGTCTCCCAAACATGATGTCCCTCTCCAAGGACCAGTCCCTCCTTGCAACATGCCCAAAGTATATTAGACTAAGCTTCAGAATCTTTGACTCCAAGGAGCATTCCAGCTTCATCCTCTCCAGTACAAACCTGTTTGTTCTCCTAGCAGTCCATGGTATAGTCAACACTCTTCTCCAGCACCACAGCTTAAAGGCATCAATCCTCTTTCTATCATCCCTATTCACTGTCCAACTCTACGATGCATAGCACGTAATTGCGAAGACTATAGCCTGGATCAGGCACACGTTAGTCTCCAGCCTGACATCGTTTCTCTTCAGTACTCTTGAGAGGTCCCTCACAGCTGACTTTCCCAATACAATTTGTCTCCTGATTTCCTGGCTGCTGTTACCAAGCGTGTTAACTGTGGAACCAAGTAAACTAAAACTGCTATCTCAATCTCTTCACCATCCATACTGATGCTGCTAATAGTCCCAGTGATAAGAATCTTTGTTTTCTTGATGTTGAGGTTTCAGTCTCCCTTATTATATAGAAATTTTTAAAATCATTACTCTTGAGTGCTGGATAGTAATATATTGTGTGAATGTACAATTTATTTGTTGTATTATTTATTTGTTGGTGGATATTTGGGCTTTTTCCATGTTCTTGCTATTGTGAATAATGCTGCTATGAACATTGGTGTACAAATCTCCGTTTGTGTCTCACTTCTGTTTTCCTTAGGATATATTCCTAGCAGTGGGACAGCTGGATAATATGGAATCTCTATGTTTAGCTTTTTGAGGCAGCACCAAGCTGCCTTCCAAAGTGGTTGTACTATTTTACAGTCCCACCAACAGTGTATGAGAGTTCCAATCTCTCCACATTCTCTCCAATATTTATTGCTTACTGCTCTATTGAACTTTGCTACTGCTACTGGGATGAGATGATACCTCATTGTGGTTTTGATTTGCATCTCTTTAATTGCCAGTGATTCTGAGCATTTCTTCATGTGTCTATTGGCCATCTGAATGTCATCCTCTGTGAAAAGTCTTTCCATATTTTTTGTTCAATTTTTGTAATTGGGTTATCATTCTTTTTCTTGTAGAGGCCCTGTAGGATTTTGCAAACTTTGGTTAGGAGACCCTTGTCTCATAATGAAAAGTCTAGTTCATTCTTGTTATCATATTTATCTTTAGGTGTTACTTGGCTTAATGGTAGAGTTGTGTGCCAACTCAAAGGCACATAATTTTAATCCACCAGCTGCTCCATGGAAAAAAGGTGAACAATCTCCTCTCGTTTGATTTACTGCCTCTCAAAACCCTCTGTAAAAGCTGGCTATGAGTTAGTTCTAACTTGAAGGTACATAACAAGAACAATGAACTTGAATCTTACTATTCTGACAAGTCAAGTACATTGTTGTTGTTGTTATGTGCCGTCGAGTCGCTTGCGACTCATAGCGACCCTATGTACAACATCCCTAAACTCTGCTCTGTCCTGTGCCAATCGTGCCGTCTCCGATACACCCATCTCCATTACCCCAGTCACTGAATCAGTCGACCTCATAGGGGGCCTTCCCCTTC